CCAACGACAGCTCACTGCGGTTGGACTGTGTCGCTGTCAGGACAAACAGCAGAGGCAGGAACTCCCAATATCTTCAGCGAGGTATTTCATCTCCGAGTACTTTCAGCAGAGTACTTTTCTCAGAGTACTCATCCCAGAGTACTCTCACTTTTACACCTGTTCAATAAAGCTTGTTATCTTTGAATCTCTAGTACTTACACCGTATGCTGTTGACAAAAAATAATTATTCCATGATCACATTAAAACATTACAGACACATTTGTTATTCCATGATTCCGTTCAGCATTCCTCATTTCACTCCTTATTTCACACATCACACTCATATCACAGTCACATCACAGTCACATCACAGGCCGATTCCCCACGTTAGTATTTTGGTCCAGTTTGTTAAGGTCAGCGTAGTGTACTTTGACATGACACACAAACATATAACATGCACAAAACATATAACACACACAAACATATAACAACACAGAAGGCCTGTACTTTTAACTTTGTTATATTTTTCCATGTCCAATTCCAATTGTCTCATGAGCTATTTCTTATTGTTGCAACTTTCAGAGCCTGCAGAGCTTTAAAAGAGTTTTCCTAAAAGGATCCATTTCCAACTTTAGTGTTTACCACGTGGTCTATACTTCGGGCTTATCACAGATTGTGTCCCCTATATCTCTAATGAGCTCTTGTCACCTAAAAAAAATGTTTATTTTCCTTATTTTTTTTTCTTTTTCAATAAAGCCAGGTCGGATTCATTAAAAATGTAAATTAGTCTCAAACTTTAATACTTCACCTTTGTTTCACGATAAAATGTTTTTGTTGCTCATTAAGTAGCACAGATAGTGGTGCCTATCTCAATAAACGTACTCCGTTAGCCTATCTTCCCTACACTGCATGAATTTTCAAACTCCAAGTTATTGTCTGGGAACGACCGGAGAGAGCAGCTTAGGTCGTTCGCGTGGTTGACCTCCAAATTTTGTGCGGGCGTCACTATCCACTTGTTGTGGCTAATAACTTAGCAATCTCAGGGTTTGGTGTCAATTTCCAGTGGTAGTTAACTTTTGGGACCGGTGCCTCCTTTTATTTATCTATTTTTAATTGAGTCTGCACATAAGGTCTCGGCCTAGTAGGTTAACCGGGGACAATGGGGAATATAATAGAAAAGAATGTTTAAGCTGGTTGCCCTGAGAATCAAAACACGTTAGCGGTGACGTAAATTGCTCTTTAGTCGTCTCTCCGACGCTGCTAATTAGAATATGAAGCGGCCGCTCATTTTAGGGGAGACAGAAAGGCTGTCACTTTTAGCACAGAATTTGTTGCCCCGGAGTCATCCAGAATTTTAACTTGTACACCACAGGTTGTTAGCGTATATTACGGGCATGAATTATCTCTAAAAAGTGCCAATTGCAATTTGTTGTTGTTCAAACTTACATGAGCGGTCGCTTTGGTGACGAATGTGAACCCAGGTTTGGTCAGTCGCTCGTGTTTCCTCCGTGCCCGCCTCTGCCGTCCTCTGGCCCCGTGTGAGCTTGAGAGGCCCTCTGCCTTTAACGCCTCCTCCGGTAACAGTCCTTCGACCCATGTCGAGCACACAGTCTTTCCGCCGGGCTGTGGAAGTTTTTCAAAGTCCGCAGGAGGCCCAGGTAGCCCAAAGCGTTAGCATGTGGTCCATGAGGGTTGGTGAATGACCCAAACGTGCCGGTACTTTTGGCTTCTTCTGTTTGCGGTGCGGGAACAACTTTCAAGCGGGTTTCCGCGGGTGCGTTTGGTATATCACGCTGCCCCCTCCGTGGAGAACAGTCACGGGATTTGGAGCAGTTTCTCTCTGTGCTCCAAAGCAGTTGTCGGTGTCTCACATATTTGCTTCCCCGCTTCTTCTTCTGTGGTTTCCTGAGCGTGTGTCTGTTTCCGCCTCTTCTTCTTCTGCGGTTTGGGCCCACTTCTCGCGGGGTCTCAGCTGGTGCGGGCGCCGCCTGTGGTTGGGGCGTGGGGCTGGTGCTTTGAGGCAGAGGACAGAGCGCGGAGGAAAGGCGCCGACAGACCTGGATAAGGGAGAGGGAAAAGAGACAACAGTAGTCTGCTCATTTTTTAAAAACCCAACGCCTTGTTTGGGTGCACACTTATTGTTAGTAGGGGTAGGGTGGGGGTGTGGGGGATGTGTGTGTGTGTGTCCGCCTGTGTTCTCCGCTTCGGTGAAAGGCGGAGGAGCTATTGTTTTTACATATTTCTTTCTCTAACCTCTTTTGCCGTGATATTCTTAAAACCAAGTATATTTTTTTCTTCCCTTCTTCTTCTAAATTATCACGCAAGATGCGTAATGGCCTGCACCATAGGCAAGCACTCCATAGCTTGCGTCTTCTAGATTGTTTTTTACCCATTTTCTCGTACGAACAATGGGCCTAACCCGCTTAGTCTCTCCCTGCTCCTACCCACTTTGGGGCGCTCCGTTCCCCCCCCCGCTGGTTCAACCAGCGAGCGCGCGTTCTTGAAAACGGAGCGGTTCTGGCTGAAGACACTTGGAGATTCCAGGGTCGCTTACAATGCGATACTAACGCGCAGCCGCTAGTTTCAATCTAGAACAAAAAAAGCCCCCCAAAAAATCCCGCACACAGACTATGCTGTGGCAATGAATGAAATACCCCAAAAATACATAAATAAACAAATCCCCGTGTACACTTAAGTGCTGCCCTGGGCTCGTTACGCAGATGAAAAGACAAGACTCACCAGATTAGGTTCTTTTTGGTCTTGTGTGGCAAAAGGATTCCTTCCGTGCGCGGACGAGCGCGCTCTCCTTTGTCTCCAAAAAGGAACAGAGGCTGGTGATCCAGGTCGGCCAAACAAAGCCGCTCGTCCCCGCCGAAAGTATCCATGCCAAGACATGTCAGCAACGCCAAATTGTTATAGAATTATATACCCCATGAAGGAGAAAACTCAAAGGTCCTTTGTCTGATCAAAAGCGTAGGTTTATTGTTAACGCACAGTGCGGAGAGTCAGCATATGCACACAAAGGCAGCATGCTCAGCTCTGGGGGCCAGAGCCCCCAGCTTCCTGTATCCAAGACACACACCAAAGATAGTCACGCCCACAACGGAGCGGAGGGGGCCACCGGTGAGGAGGCGCACAGGAAGCGCCGGCGCCATCCCCTGTGGTGGCAGTGGCATGGGGTGTGAACAGACAGACAATGGTGGAAATGCAGGTCATACAGATGCAAGACGGAAAGACACAAGGGTGTGACAGACAGCAGGGACCTTCACAAAGCTCAGCATGGCGTCAGAAGGTCGTCTGCATTGATAAAAGGCCTTTGACGTCCGTGTATTTGCTGCGGCTGGTTTTATGTAATTACTCCAAAAACTGTCACCACGAAATGTATTTTTTTCCAACTGTTCGAGGTCTCCGTTTGCTGCATGACACCGACCTTCCAGCAGCACCTCATATGTGTCCCTCAGATTCTTCCACCGCTTTTTGCAAACTTCCAACTGAATAAACACATCAACTCGTAAGCCAGAAAGTAGTAGTTTTTTTTGCGGGAAATATTTACAACATTGAAAAGTAAAATATCTAAACCTAACACCGAGGACACCAACCACCTCGCTAACCCTCATCCAAGCAAGCTCCTTTGTTATTTCGGTTCCCGGTAGCTGTGGGTCCGCAGTGTATTATATAAGCTCTGAATGAGCACACGACCTGAGCAATTGACCGTTTCCTCCCATAGCTGTCATCTACCAGTGTTTTTTCCGGTATGAAAATGCGTCACGACGTCACTGGAGAGAAAAGCTTCCTGATTGGTCGTGCCACACGCGAATTCTCCCAAAAGAATCAACAATTGTTTATCAACTCTAGCGGCGGCCGCGTGGAGGCACGAATCGCGCGAAACGCCGCGTCAAAACGCTTTTGACATCTCAAAACACTCCGCGCGAATATCGCGCGAAACGAGCTCGAATTCGCGAGCCGCTCTGGCCGCGCGAATCGCGCCGCGTTTTTGAATCTCTTGCCGCTCCTTGGCGCGCGTCCCCCATGTTGTTGTCAATGTAGACCCGCCCTCTTTGGCCGCAGAAATCTGCGTTTGGTTCTTGAACGCGGGGGACAACCATAAGAGGTTAAAATCGTGATTATGGACAGATTAACAAATAAGGAAGAGGAATGAAGAAAATGTGTGTCAAAGACAACACATGCGACAGCAAAATCAAACATTCTTTACTCAAACTGTGCCAATCCTCGCCCCTTTTCATTTAACTCAACAAACAAGCTAACCTAGCTTTCGAAAGGAAAACAACTTACTTGCAGGCAGCGCAAACTGGAGCTGTTCTCCCCCGATGTTTGTGCACCTGCGTCTCGCCCCTCCGCTCGTTGACCACCGTTTCCTTCATCTGTTGGCTGGGAATACGCGATCACGTAAATACTGCGCGGGTGGTCTTCTTTAATTGATGGTAGTATAATTGTAAACCCTGTAAATCCTCCGGCACCCGTCCGATTACCGCATAGCAGCCCAAAAGTCCGACTGCGGCTATCTGCTATTGATATGGCTCAGTAAGAGCTTCAATGAAAAAGTTGTAAAAACTGCACAAATGCAGCAGCGCCAGACCATTGTTTTCTTCAGCTCAATGTCAATAAGTTCCAAACGAACGCGCATTTCCCAAAGCTAGTTAAGTACATTCTTATCTTAGGGAGGGGGGCGTAAAATATTGACATACACGTTTGACGCATGATAGACTAGTAATGCGAGTGTCAGTCACATATTATTATACAAACATACTTTACGTAAAGAAAAAAGTGTTCTTGGCCAAAATTAACATCGTATTAGCGATTAAATGGCGACATAACATTGACTTGACACTCCCCCCTCTCACCGAATTGGTATCTTCCGCGCAATGCATCAACATTGGCGGCAAACTACGTCCTTCTTTCGGCGGTGAAACAGAAGCAGCCGTTAATTTTCAGAAAGAAAAATTCGTTTTTATCTTTCTACTTTTTACTTTGGTGTTTGCTGGATATCTCGGAGAGCCAACATGGATGACGATGGGGCGAGCGAAACATATCCAGAGATTGACAGTGTGTCAGCCTCAGTATTAAAAGGTAAAATGTTTTTACCGTATTATCTTTTAGTCAACATGCTAAATGCTAACTAGCTAACGCTTAGCGTGTGTTAACAGACTACTTCCACTTCTAATTTGCGTTTACCCTTGACATTTGTTACCTAGTTTTGTCATTAATGTGAATTATTTCATGTTAGTGTGCTACAGGTATACACATTTTTTTTTTTTTTCTATCAAAAGAGTTAATGCACACTTATACGACTGATTGGACTATTTACTTTAATAAATAATAATAATAATCATATATTAAACTGTAATAACTGCCATATTTATGAAAATATCTGTTTTTATTAGCTGCTGGTGTGAAGATGACCATGTTGCCCAGCCTCACTAAGGAGGATTTGCGAGACCTGTTTCCTGGACCAGAAAACTTTTTAAGAAGAAGACACATTTGGCAACTTGTTCATGGTGATGTGGAGGTGAGTTGTATTTATTGTTTGTAAAAATGTTTTGCCCCGAACTATGAGAACTGAGACCAAATGTCTGTTGTGTTTATGTTGCAGAGTCAGAAATCCAATTGCCCAGTCCTTGACACTTCTGGTATTGACAGCCCACCTAACCTTTGCTTTCTTCCTCCTCTGACAGCAACATCTGCTCTCCAACACCCTTCAATTCTCCAAAACCTAAACATAAAGATTGTTCTGGTGCCACTAAAAAGGTGCGGCTCATTAGTCCAGAGTATGTCATATACACTGACACAGAACTAGAACTAGCAAGAAGTGCTTACTTCGAAAAGCAGCGTGCTGGACAAGACAATGACTACACCATGCCAAAAGACTTGCGCTGTAGACTCATTAGGAATACAGTTACAAGCATGATTGCTATCAAAAGAGCGTCCGAGGATGATTTTAAGTACCAGGCCCCCGTGAACTGACTGCCATGGCTAAACGTCTAGTGGAATACTACCCAATGCTTCGAGACAAGTCTACGCCCAGTACACCTGAATGGGTAAGTCTCTCATTTTGTTTTGATTGATTTGATTTTTTCATCTGTTACCAATGGTATTGGTTTTGTTTTGATTGATTTGTTTTTTAAGGAAATGTTGAAGAAGCAGTTGTTGAAAAGGGTTCAGAATGTGACAACTCCAAAAAAGAAGCAAGGAGCAACCCCATCAAGAAAAGGACGTCGAAGCCTAAAATTCCAGAGCAGCCAGGAGACATGCACCGAAGAGAGTGATGAACCTTTCTCCTCCCCTACTTCAGTCTCTTCACCTGCCTCATCAGTCGCCTCGTCCTCTGCCTCCACTGTGATCCTAGAGAAGTCAACTCCATCTACTTCCCAAGAGGATCTCTTGAGTGGTAGGTTAGAATTTACTTTACTTTTACATTTACTTAATGCTTATTGGAAAATATTTTAATTTGTATATAATGTATTTTTTTACTTTCTGTATACTTTTTGTTTGTTTATCTATTCCCAGAGAGCCCCACAGAGCCAAGCAAGACACTATAAAACTCTACAGGATATGTACAAAACTAAGAACAAACCAAACAAGGAAGATGTATCTCAGCTGTTGGAACTGGAGTTCCAATCTAGACGGGCTTTCATTGACTCTGATGTGATGAAGGAACAGGACAGGCCTACGAAGATACTGCAGGCTTATCCATGTTTTAAAGAACTTAGCCATGTAAGTATTTTTTTTCTCACTTAACTTGTATATTTCACTAGAGCAAAGGCCTCTTAATTTATTTGTATTATTTTAATCTCTCACTGTTAGATCATCGATGAACTTCACCGAATCCTTGCAAGAGGAAACCCCTTCTTCACAATGGAGCTGAAGAAACGTTGGCTGAGATTTTTTAACCAGGCGCAGTTTTATGGGGTGTTCAAAAAATTCATAGGGCCACCATTGCAGGACCAAGGTAAGGATGATTTATCAGCTGTTACCCACATACAAAGGCCTAAAATGATTCTGATGTATTCTTATTGTTTAAACAGTAAAGAATGCACTTGCTGTCCTGAAAGTACTGCCTCAGATGTTCCCTTCGCATGTAGGTCTGCCGAAGAGGTTGGGACACCCAAGTGATGCTTTGTTTCACATTTTGACGGTAAGAATATTATATATATATTTTTTTGTTATGTTTACGTTCTGTCTATGTGTTTGTCCCAGTTGTTAAGGAGTGTTTCTATTATCATGTACTTTGTTCAAACTTATGTATTTGGGTGAAGATTTAATTACTTTTTTGTTTTAGTCAGCAGAGGACCCCAACACTTATCTTCAATCAAGACCCTTGGTCAGCCCTGTGGTGATTGTCTGTGAGACAAACTGCATCCTGGCCATTGGAACGGTTCCTCTGCTTACTTTCCCCAAAGAAGACCTCAGTGAAAGTGTGATGTATCTCCTTGGCTGTTATTACACCTTTCACCTCACATACCCTAAGTGCATTGGTACCCTCCTGTCTGTGCTACAGACGGACGTTTTGTTAGATGCCATCCATGAGAAGGACATGACTACTTCCTACAAAAAAGCTATGGCTGAATGGAGAAAGTTTCATGAATAAGACCATTCAAACATCAGTTTTAGTTTTAAGTAGTTCAGCAGCATTGAGTCCCTCCTAAAATGTGGCTCCTGTTCAATTAGGGCTGGTTGATTTTGGAAAAAAAGTAATTTCCCCATATTGATCAATCTCAATTTTTGTTTAAGTTTTGTAGAGATTGAAACTTCGATTAAATTTCGATTAATTGCCCAGCCTTATGTTCAAGAGATTGGCTATTGGTTTTTGCTGTGGTTTGTGGTCTTGAAACTGATTTTGCACAATAAAAGAGTGGAAAGATATAATGTTCTTTGTTTTATTATATAACTCTTGTTTTAAGGTTTTTAGTCTTAAATTAAATTCTGATTTTAAGCATATTTTTCTTGTAAATAATTACATTTAGGTGAAATGTGCTTGTTTTTAGAATAGCTGTGCCTATTTCAAGTTCTAATTAGTAAGCTAATTTTTCTTATTTATAGTAATCAATTCTAAATAGGCCAAAAATAAGTGAATATTTCTGATATTAAGAAACAATTTCTAAACATTATAGCTTGAAAAAAGACAATATTGCTTATTTTTGGTCTAAATATACTAATTTCAAGATTGCTGTGGGTCATACAGGGCTAGTATTATTTTCTTATTTTTGAAAATCTTACCAAGTAAAAATTTCTTGTTCTGTTGGCAGATAATTTTGCTTATTTTAAGTATTATTTTTCTTATTTTAGCTTTTTTTTTTCTTTTTTTTTTAAGTGGACTTTTTGCAGTGAACAGAGAGAGAGGCCAGAGAGAGGCTAGAGAGAGACCGGAGAGAGACCAGAGAGAGAGAGACTAAAGAGAGACCAGAGAGAGAGATCAGAGAGAGACCAGAGAGAGACCAGCGAGAGAACAGAGAGAGACCAGAGAGAGAGACCCAGAGAGAGACCAGAGAGAGACCAGAGAGAGAGACCAGAGAGAGACCAGAGACCAGAGAGAGACCAGCGAGAGAGGGACCAGAGAGAGCCAGGAGACTGTTCCTTGTCTCATTTTTCAAATATTGTTTAAGGGCTCAGTCGAGACACATTTGGCCAAATATGACCCTTTTCGACTTATTTTTCATCACTTTTTGCAGTGTGCTCGAACCTGGGAAGTATTTCAAAACCCATTCCCACTCTCAGTCATCAGACAGAGTCCCTCGGTGTAAACATTGGTATGGATTTGGATAAAGCTGATATTAGAATGACATATTTCACAGTATTAGCTCCAGATGGTAGAACGGTGAAGAGGCTGGTACTGGGTCTTACTCTAATGGGATCTGTCAGTGTCTAGACTCTAGCCGTAAAAACAGTGCCCTCTGGGATCGCTTACGGCGGTGGCAGAGATCGCATTCAACCCTCGATGCAGTCATTGTGGAGATGTCAAGAGGACGTTCAGCCGCTTGTAATAGGAGGATATTTGAGTGACGTCGTTGTTCATAGTTTTTCCGCTCCGGTCACGTGACTGTGGCAAAACAGCAGAGAAAGCTACCTGAATGCTACAGAGTTAGCTAGTTGTAGACGTTTGGAGAGAGGTTTTACTAAATCAAATGGTCCATTCTTGTTATGTGGTCGGTTGTACGGCCCGCTGGGGAAATAAAGTTTTTTTTCTGATTCCTTTGTAAAAGAACAGCGAAAAACTAGGTTTTGCAACTACTTCCAGTGCACACTTCTTCACTGTGATGATGAATTTTAAACATTGCATTGTGGTTGCTCATCCCTGTGTCTTCTTTTTCAACGTTTACCTTAAGTAACAGCGTGCAGGGGCCACCCGCCTTTAATGTGCGGACCACTTTACCACGACGGCGAAAAGCCTTGGTGAAAAACGCGAGAAATGGATTTTCACCACGGACCCTTCTTGCGTGAAGGGTCTCGGGTTTTCTATGAAGTCAGAATAATTGCCTCGTTGATCGGTGCCAGGACAGAGGTGAGTCTGACCAATGTTTCTTCTCGTCATCCCAGGTCTCATATACTTATTTTAAGCTTGGGTTTATATCTCCTGATCTTCTTGGGTTAAAATGCTTATATACAGTGCATTGCTAAAAGTATTCGTCGTATCCATGCTTCAGTTTGTGCCGCTCTGTCTTTTTGCCACACAGCGAATGCCGCATATGCACTTATTTTGTATTTACACTGGGATTGTCATGGATTGGCAGTACGATACTTCCATAATTTTGTGAAATCTATCAAACAAACCAAAAACCTCAAAACCCCCATTTTCCCTAAATCAATTCAGAATAAACTCACCCGTTACATTCCATGGCATATTTCCAGGACTTTTTCTCTGTCAATTTATATATTTTTTTACCGAATCTTCCTCCTTTAAACAAGTGTCTTTGCAAAGTTCATGTCTGATGCTTATCCCGCTGCGAGAAGAGAAAAAAACCCAAGCGGCAAAGCAAAATATTTCATTTGGGATTTCATTTCTCCAGCACTTATGGACGAAAACAAGCAAAAGATCCAGTCGTGCAGTTAACCAAATAAAGTCAGCGCTTTGTCTGTGTTTTCAGAGCACACAGACAGTGAAGATTCTCCTCCGACCGGTTTATTTGAAGGTCTGCAGCGTCGAGAAGTGATGAAAAAAACGAGAGAGAAAGAGGTGCGAGCCAATACAAACCTGTTAGGACCGAAGACCCGCTGACCTCCATTATCAAAGTCAATATTATGGCCGTAGTTCACTTTTTGGTTTTGTCAGACCGTCTGTGTAAAGTCCGGGTTTGGCACCGGTTGGATCTAGTTTTCACCTGTCTTTTTTATCCTGGCTTGGTGTCTATCATAGTTTATTTGTGTGATAACATCTGTAGCAGCTTTGTGGATAAGATTCCACCCAGTTCTTGTAAAATTCCTGGGCTGTCTTGCATGAACCGGACGCTGGACCTGTCTCCTTTAGAGCAGGGGTTCCCAAAGTTTTTAGCCCGCGACCCCCATCATAAATGCGCTGCTCCCCCGCGACCCCCCACCTCAACAGTCCTTCCCGTCAATGAGCATGTACTTCCTTGATACGGAGTAACGCAGAGACTCGCGCCACTACTGAGCTGCACTGTCCAGCCCAAAAAAGGAGGCTTGCGTATTTTTACTCACGTAGTGACACAGTGATGGGCTTGGTGGGCTCCCTTCTCAGCAGAAGTGGAGCGCATTTCTTGCGGCTCGCCCTCTCTGTTCTCCTACCGCGGTAAAGTGGCCCTAACCCTAACCCAGCGGTAAAGAGGTCCGCACATTAAAAGCGGGCGGCCGCTTTCTGCTGTTACTTCATGCGGTTCCTCCCCCGCGGCTTCTTTTTCCAAAGTCACTGTAAGTAACAGCATAAACCGGCCACCCGCTTTTAATATGCGGACCTCTTTACCACTGACTCCGAAAAGCCGGGCCTCTTTACCGCGCTGTTCTACCCCTGCCTTCTCTCCCTCCACTGCCCTCTCTCCCTCCACTGCCCTCTCTCCCTCCACTGCCCTCTCTCCCTCCACTGCCCTCTCTCCCTCCACTGCCCTCTCTCCCTCCACTGCCCTCTCTCCCTCCGCTGCCCTCTCTCCCTCTCTTCGCACCATCAGCCTGACCCTTGACTGTTCTCCCCCTCCAGGTTTTTCTGTTGTGGATATTAACCACGTTTCATTTTAAAGCAGGTATTATGTGTTTGTAGCCTCCAAACACCTTTAGTTTTAGCAAACAGCAGCAGGACACGCTTTGTCGCTGCATGATGTGAGCTGCGTAACTTAATTTTGATTGACGCTGTCAATGACTGGGACAACGTAATTAACGTAATTAAAATATATTATTTTCTCCTAACACAATTTAACAAGTAACCCTTTTGAATCAAATCAAATGCAAAATAAATATTTAAGGGCTATTAATTTGCTCAATTTATGTATTTATTTTTCATTTTTTTTGTTGTTGTTTGGAAATCATCTTGCGACCCCCCCAGGGGTTCCCGCGACCCCCCGGGGGGTCGGGACCCCCACTTTGGGAACCACTGCTTTAGAGCATAACTGTAAGAAAGAGGCGTTTAATTTTCAAAAACACAAAGCAACTGGTGCCTCGTTCAAGATATATATATTGGTTCTATCATGGCACGGTGGCGCAGTGGTGTGTTTGCATGTTCTCCCTGTGTCTACGTAGGTTTTCTCCAGGTGCTCTCTCTGGAGCACCTGGAGAGGTTTTCCCCTACCACTAAAACCATCACCGTGTGGAGAGAATGGAACAATATCTGAACTCTGAATGTTGTAAAGTGTTTTTGGTGACCTTTGGCTGTAAATATGCGCTATACAAATAAACATTACTTACTTTCAATGCATGCATTTTTAGCCTCTGTCACACGCACACCTTTAAATCCGCTTTTTCAGTCATTAATGTATAGGTTTTTCATATTCTATATAATATAAATGTTAATCCATGAGTCACAAATGTGTGTTAATACAATAAGAATAAGTTAGTGTCATGGTTTAGGTTTATTTACGGTTTTATTTTGTATTTTTACGTTGTAGCTTTAGTTCTACTTCCTGTTTCTAATCCCCCGCCCTCATATGTGTCATCTGTGTCTCGTTAGCCTTCTATTTAAACTAGGGCTGTCAAAATTATCGCGTTAACTCACGTTAATTACATTTTTCATTAACGCGTTAAAAAAAATTAACGCTATAACGCATGTCTGAATGACCCGCAATGTTAGCATTGGCTAATTCATATTCCGGGTCCACCCCCACAGGCTCGGGGTGGTATTGCAGCATGTCAGCGAACGTCATTTTGGCCTCTTCTGGGCTGGGATCCTCCCTCACTGATTAAACCCTGTGTATTTATTCACTTCCTGTTCTGCCATTACACGTTTGTTTAGTTCTTTCGTCCCTGTTTGGAATGGTTTAGATTTATTTCCTGTTTTATTTTGTAGTTTGTTATATCCCTGTGTCTTCTTTGGTTGTACTTCCTGTTGGATGACCTGCCCTGCCCTCATGTGTATAACCTGTGTGTCGTTAGTCTTGTATTTAGCCCCGTGTGTTCCTTCACTCCCTGTTCCGTCATTGTCATCTCTTG